CCCCCCCCCCCCCATCCAGAAACTTGGCAGTGTGAGAGCAAGAATATCTGTGGCTCTGAGCAATTAACACTGCTACTGTACCACCACTTTAAAGTGGCTTTTTACATGGCTGCATTCTTGGTTTTATTGGTTGGCTCCCAGTATGGAGGACTTGTGATCTAGCCTTTGATCTCTTCAGCTTGTGTGGTACTACCCCAATTTAATTTCCACAGGCATAATTTTGAGGTGACTGGAATCCGCAAGCCTGCTTACCACTCACAGTGCGGTCTTTAGGGAAGGATTTAGAGAATGGTACCAAGTAGTTACACTGCTTGTAAACTGCTTAATGACATTAAACATTCTCTTTGGTATCACCACCACATGTCTACTCCATGATTTGTTTTAATCAGTCTTATAAATTTTTGCTTTCTGTCTTTCTCAGGATCTGCTGATGGTGACCTATTTGGCAAACCTCACACAGTCTCAGATTGCTCTCAATGAAAAACTCCTGAGCTTGTAACAAACAGGCTCTCTAACCATCTCTCTCATTTGGCTGAGAGCTGGAAGATACAGCAGAGATCTCCTACAGTGTTTCGCTGCTGAATTTATTTGGACCATAATTTAATTGCTTAAATGACTTGATTGTCCGTGTCCTTCCCAACTCTCCTGAAAATATGAGACTGGTTCAGATTTAAAAAAAAAAGGAAAGTGCCCACATCTTAACTGAACCTATTACTTAAAGTGGAATTGGTTTCTCTGCAGTAATGTGAGCTGCTGTCACTCATTTATATAAATAACACAACTATTTTTATTGTAAGGATGCATTAATTCTAAATAAAAGTCCCATTCCACTGGTAATTTTTTTCTTCTTTTTGTTTTTTGTCCACAAATGCTGCTGCTGCTTCCTAAATTTTTAATGAATGTCCTTTTTTTAAATAAAAAAGCTGGTCTCAGTAGAGGAAACTAAGAGCTTGAAGTGGTTCTGTGTGTTTTATTAGGCTAGTGATACTCCACCAGTGCTGTGGAACCATGGGATGCCTTGACATTCTTGCAAGGGTGTGACTGGGTGCCCAGCAATGTTATCAGTATTAAGTGTGCAGTCATGATTCACAAAATAAATTCAGAGATTTCAAGCAGGAATCCATAGTGTTAAAAAATTCTGACCTGTTGTGTTCTTTCAGAGTTCTTTGCAATAGAGGAGTTGCTCTGTTACTACTCTTTTGTAGTTAAAAATGAATGAAAACTAAGAGCTGGCACTTTCTAATAGTACATCTGGTACAAGAAGGGTGAGAAGTGTATTGTACTAGAACCTAAGAGGATCGTAGGAAAGTAAGGCTGGAAGGGACCTTATGAAGTCATTTAACTAGCCTTCTGTTCAAGGCAGGATCAACCTGACTAAGCCATCCCAGCCAACTGTCTGTCCAACCTCCTCTTGAAGATTTCCAAGGTTGAGGTTTCCACAATTTTTTTTTTTTTTAGGTAGCTTGTTCCAAAGTTTGACTATCCTTGTACTCAGAAAGTTACTCTTCCTAAACCTCCAACCTTCCTCTAACCTAAACTTCCTCTGCTACAGTTTGAGGCTAGTTTCTGTGGCTGTAGGGAACAGGACTAAAAACTCATTTCCATCCTATAATCACTAGGGCTGTGTGAGATTTTGCTGGGTGTTTTGTTTCAAAGCCGTTTCAAGCTTGAAATGGCAAAATGGAAACAAAACAAAAGGATTCACAACAAAACAAGGGCACTCTAAATGTTTTGAGTTTGAAGTCAGGCTTACTTGGCTTTAGCACCAGTCCCAGGCAGCAACGGCAGCCTCCTGTCATGCGGTATGCAGCACTGGGAGCTTGCACCCCCAGGTGGAAATTGCAGGGGTGGTAGCCCCTTCTGAGGGCATGTAGCCTGCCAAGTGTCAGGACTCCTCCCGTGGGTGCGATTCCTTGGATCTGAGCCAAGTGATAGGAGGCTGAGGCTGCTGCCTGAGCCTGGCAGTGGGTGCAGCCTGCGCCCAGTGCCAGGGAAGATTGCTGCTGCCACCAGTCATCCAGCGTGCAGATCCGGGGGCTTGTACCCCTGGGAAGAGTCCGGTGCAGCCCTCCCTGGGGTGCAAGCCCCCAGATTTGTGCACTGCATGACAAGAGGCTGCCGCTGCCACGAAGTTTCAGGACTTTTAGTTTTGATCACTTTTGAGGTGCAGTTTCTCAGAAACCTCTGTGCCTATCGACTTGACACTTGGAAGGCTTCATGCCCTCAGAAGGGGCTACCACCCCTGTAATTTCCATCCAAATCAGGCAGGAAATGACCAGGTTTTAGGCATTTTCATGATTCCCCATTCTAGTCCATGGGTGAAATGTCAAAACAGAAACACTTTTCAATGAAATGATCTGGGACAGTGCTTCAAAATGAATGAAATGGAACACTGTCCCTTCAAATGGCAAAACAGATGTCGAAATGAAACAATGGTATTTTGCACAACCCCTTTTCACTCTTCAGGTATTTCAAGAATGTTATCAAATCCACCTTAGTCTTCTCCAGACTAAATAACCCTAGTTCTTTCAGCCTCTCCCCCTAAGTGTTGCTTCACTTAGATCATGGACTTTGCTCTCCTTCAGTTTTTCATTTAAGCAAGTACAAGTGTGTAACACCATAAGCAGTTGTTTGGAGAAGGTACTTTTCCTTCAGGGCTACAATCGTTCCATACAGGAGTTCTTTAGCATGGGTGGGTAATTATTTTGGGTGGATGGCTGCTTACCCAGTTTTGGCAGGTTATCAAGGGCTGCATAAGTAGCCTTGCCCCTTGACAGGGGACCTTGCCCCTGGTCACCATCTAGGGACCAGTGTCCAAATACCTTGGGAAAAATGTCCCAGGGCCAGCACCAGTGGGGCCCAAAGCAGGGCACAGGCTGGCAGGGGTCTGTGGAGCCAGACTGGGCTGCACCAGCAGGGACAGGGGGAAGCTGGCCCAGCTCCATAGAGCCCCTGCTGGCTGGGACCCCACGCTCCTGCCACCCTGCTCTGGGCCCTGCTGGCATTGGCCCTGGAACACCAGTCTGGGCCCTGTGTTCCTGCTGGATCCCGCAGCTGCTCACTCCTAATGCCCCCCAGCCCTGTGGTACAGGCTGGGGACAGCGCATAGCCCTGACCTCCTGCTTGCTGGCAGGGAAAAAGCTGGTGCTGAGCGTGGAGAAAAGTGGCCCCTTGCCCACTGCCTAGCTGGCACTCCCCAAGTCTAACCCCCCTGCCATGGGCAGGAAAGAATGCTGGAGTCGAATGACTCCGGCAAGGTGTCTGTCTAGCCTCCTTTTAAAGACCCTCAGGGTAGGAGTGAGCACCACGTCCCTTGGAAGTTGGTTCCAGATCCTAGCCGCCGTGACTGTGAAGTAGTGCCTCCTGATATCTAGACTGTATCTACTCTCCATCAACTTATGGCCATTATTCCTTATTACTACCAGTAGTGCTTGCGGGAACAGGAACTCTCCCACTGCCTGCTGATCTCCCTTGGCTAGTTTATAGATGGCCACCAGATCCCCCCTCAGCCTTCTCTTGTGGAGGCTAAACGGGTTCAGGTCCCTGAGCCTCTCCTTGTAGGGCCTGTCCTGCTGCCCCCTGATCATGCGAGTGGCCCTCCTCTGGACCCCCTCCATGTTATCCACATCCCTCCTGAAGTGCACTGCCCAGAACTGGACGCAGTACTCCAACTGCAGCCTGACCAATGTCATATAGAGGGGGACGATCACCTCCTTGGACCTGCTCGTGCATGACAAGGTGTGCTTAGCTTTCCTGACTGCATCCCTACATTGGCGGCCCATGTTCATCTTGGAGTTTATAATGACTCCAAGATCCTTTTCTGGCTCTGTGCTGACGAGAAGGGAGTTCCCCAACCTGTAGGTATGCTGCTGGTTCTGTCTCCCTAGATGCAGTACCCTGCACTTGTCAGTATTGAATCCCATCTTATTCTCATCCACCCACCCCTGTAACTTGTCCAGATCCAATTCAGCCTGTCCCTCCCTTCTAGCATGCCCACTTCTCCCCACATCTTAGCGTCATCTGCGAATTTGAACAAGGTGCATTTCACCGCCTCGTCCAAGTTGCTGATGAAGATGTTGAACAGTGCAGGCCCAAAGCAGAACCGAGCCCTGGGGGATCCCACTGCTCACATCCCTCCAGGTCGAAAATGACCCATCCTCCACCACTCACTGGGTGCGGCCCTCCAGCCAACTGGCAACCCATCTGACTGTGTAGGCATCGACACCACAATCTCCTAATTTTTTAACGAGAATGGGGTGAGAGACGGGGTCGAAGGCCTTCCTAAAGTTCAGAAAGGCTACGTCCACCGCGACACCTGCATCCAAGGATTTTGTGACCTGGTCACAGAAGGCCACCAGGTTGGTCTGACAGGACCTGCCTCTAATGAACCCATACTGGTTGCCCCTTGCAGATGTGCACCTGGATAATTTTCTCAAAGAACTTCCCCAGGACTGAGGTAAGACTAACAGGCCTATAACTTTCTGGGTCCTCCTTCCTCCCTTTTTTGAAAATGGGGACCACACTGGCCCTTTTCCAGTCCTCTGGCACCTTGCCAGAGCACCACGAGTGCTTGTAAAGCTGTGCTGGGGCCCTGCAATTACCTCTGCTAATTCCCTCAGCACTCTGGGGTGAAGATCATCAGGACCAGCTGATCTAAACATGTCCGGTCCCACCAGAAATTCCCTGACTAGATCCTTTCTGACCCTGGGCCTCACTGTGCCTCCCCTGGGACCATGGGGGATCCCGGTAGGGGGGATGACCTGGTTCCTGCTCAGAAAAATGGAGGCAAAGGAATTGTTAAATAGGTTAGCTTTGTCGTCTGGTGAGACCACCAAATTTCCTAGTGTATCCTGCAGAGGCCCCACATTACCTGGAACCTTCTTTTTACCCCCTATGTATTTAAAAAAGGATTCTTTTGTTATCTTTGATCCGGGTTACTAGTCCCAGTGCCATCTCTGCCTTGGCTTTCCTAACAGCCCCCTACAATCATGAGCAACAGAGGTATAGTCTTCCCTGATGATGGCCCCTCCCTTCCATTGGGTGTATGCCTCCTTTTTAGGTTTTAGACAGTTTTGGATACTTTTGGTGAGCCATGGAGGCTTTTGAGCTTGCCGTGCCGGACACTGTTGGCTGCTGCTGTCCGCCCAGAGCACGTGCTGGGCAGCCCACATGCAGTGGTGGCAAACAGTGCCTGGTGCAGCAAGGGGGGGGGCGCAGCTGCTGTCGCCATGCACAGCCCTGATGGGTGAGCTTGGAGCCGGCGTGGGGTCCAGGCTGGCAGTGGGGCTGGGTTACAAGGAAGTGCTGAGTGGGGGGGGGAAGTAGCCCTTCGCCCGCCCCATGGCCGGCACTCCCTGCTGCAGCTGCTTGCACCCCACAGGGCTGTCCGGAGCAGGCACAGGCAGCCCCAAGTGGGCTGCAAGTGGCTGCAGTGCAGGGCACCAACAGATAAATATTAATTTTCTAAATTTT